CGGTGGTTCCCCCAAAGTTTTCAGGGTTTCCAGGGAAAAGAAATACCAAAAGAGGCAGCCCAGAATCAAGGTAAAATCCTGCCTAATGAGGGAAACTCTTATTTCTTAGAACCTAATATTTCTTTAGGTGAAGATTCCAGAAATATTAGAGTAATGAGGAGGTAAGGGGCAGAGTCCTGGGCCTTGTCACGTCTCCTGGATCACCTCTGAGGTGAGGAGTTTACACTTGGCCTTTGGTCAGACTGGTATCCCTGCATACTACTGAAGGGTTAGACTTGAGCCTTCAAGCCACAAGTTGCATTCAATGCCATTCTTCTTTCAGAGATGATGTCTCACTATGTCACCCCAGGCTGGCCTCAAACTCCTGAGCTCAAGCCATCCTCCTGCCTCAGCTTCACAAGTCGATGGGATAATAAGCATCCCATCACCTCAGGTTCAGTTCTCCCTTTGGTCCTCAGCTTCCTCATTTGTAAAGTGGGAATCACAAACAGTTTTGAATGGAAAACTGGCATGGAAATTTGGATAGAATGAGGTAAGCATGTAAAGTACAACCAACTTTGGTGCTTCAGGATCTGTAGAATCCTTTGACTGGATGGGTAACAGGGCCAGTAAACCAAGCCTCTGCTCAGTAAAGGGATTCCCTGACTCTTAGAACTCTCTAAGGACGTGCCCAGGCTGTGGGTAGGAAGAGAAGTCCTGTGAGTACAGCCTGGTCTCCTCTCTCATCCCTCCCACCCTGGGACCCAGGCCAAACCTTCACAGTCCACATCGCAATAGTTTTCTGAGTGACTCTGATAATTGTTGCACCAGTAGTGGCTGTTGATCTGGAAGATGCCATAGTCAGTGCTGCCATCTGCATTTTCATTTATCTTTGAGACGTTGAACTTGCTTTCCACAAAAGCCAGGCAAATCCCTTAGGATGGGGAGAAGAGAATCAGGATTTAGGGAGGACCTAGCTGAGTAGGAGAGAGATGGCATAGAAAGGAGGACAAGGATTCAGAGGAAAGGAACAAGATCTGGGAGGCTAGATGGAACTGGAGGGCTGGAAATGATCATGGGCATCTCATCTTATTCTTTGGTCCCTCCAGCCACCAATCAATATAACCAGCCATTCATTACCCTACCATCCACCCATGCTTTCTGATTTCTTAAATATCTACTGTGTGTCAGGAAATATGCAAAGCCTAACAAGGGAAATTAACTGGGTCAACTATAGATGTTGCTTTCAAGGAAATTTTAGTATAAGAATGATAATATGTACCTTAAAAACCACAAAGCAATGTAAAAAAGAGAAAGTGTTGCAAGACAGTTGCACAAATTCCAGACCAAAAGGGAGATGTCCCTGCCACACAGAGACATGAAACCTTTGCACCAGCCATTTCCTGTGTCTGGAATTTTCTTCCTCTGGCATTTGGTTGATCAGATTTTCCATTTCATTAAGCACTGCTCAATGTCACTTCCTCAGAGAGTTTTTCCTTAAGTTCTCCATCCAGAACAGTCAGTGTCACCTGTCACACACCCTACTACTTTATTCTTCTTCATGCATTTATCGCTACCAGATGTAATACTGTGTGTGTGTGTGTGTGTGTGTAGGGAAGTGGATTTGTTTGTATCCCTAGACTCTGAAACAGTTCTTGATATATAATAAGTGTTCAATTAATAATTTTTGCAGGAATGTGAAATGCTGGGAAAAGCTTCCTGGCTTTGAAAAGAAGAATGGGAGAGAAAGAAAGATGGCTAAAAAGCATGGCACTTACAGTCATTCAAGGAGTAACCCTCATATCCATCCAATTCATTCTTGTACAGCACCCTGGCCAACTCACAGCGATGCATGCGAGTGGCCTGATTTATGACAAGGAGGCAGCAGGCCACAGTGATGTGCAGCACCCTGGTCATCCTCAGAGGGGAAAGGGTGTCCAGTAGGGCCTACAGGTCTTGTCTCACAGACTTCTTGCCGGTTTTCACTTTAGAACCTGGAGAATCTGGAGAGAATAAATTTCCTTGCTCACTATTCCCAGTCTCTTTCCTTTCATCTATTGTTTTATAAATATATTTTAATTTAAAGATTTACAAAAAGAGACTCTAATAATTCTCCATGTACCCTTTTCTCAGCTTTGATAGTTAAAAACCAAGGCCAATCTGATTTCCTTTGTAGGTCGTTCTGTACTAGACACTCAGGTACCAACCACATTTGGGTCCTGCGGCTAGGAGGGAGATTGATGAAAACTATGCTTCACTGGCATTTGTGCATGTCTATTTGAGCATGTCCTTTCAGAATAAGAGTTAGGTAGGACACTGGGGCTGGGGTGGTGGCTCAGTGATAGAGCGCTTGCCTTGCATGTGTGAGGCACTGGGTTCAATTCTCAGCAGCACATTAAAAAATAAAGATATTAGGTCCATAAAAAGAAAAGAGTTAGGACACTGGATGGTGAGTTCCTCCCCCACCCCTCACCCTTAGACACATACTCTGCCTTATGTGGGGTGGGCTGGTTGAAGGTTCGACCCTTTTGTTTCCACTCCAATGTGGTAACTTAAAGCAAGTCAGAGTGACATGGTTGTTCAAATAACCAGGCTCACACTGGAGAAAGGGCTTTGGATGCACACCACCTGCTTTCAAAGGCTGGGTTGCTGCGTGACTTTGGCAATACACTTAATTTCACTTATAAAATGAAGATATGTTAATACTTACTTAATAGGGAAGACATGATGATTAAATAAAATAATAAATGCCCAGGTCTTGGTTTCACATTTCCCACAAAATGAGCCCAGGATTCCTAGGAGTATGGCAATTCCTAAGCTAGAGCAGGAAAGGGTATGAGATAATTCTGAAATGTCTTGAACTGAACAAGTAAGGAAGTGCTCAAAATATGGATTGAGGAATGTCAGACTTAAGGGCTAGCTCAAAGGTCCATCGGCTGGCCAAACCTTGAACAGTGTTTTTATTTATTTTTTTTTTCTTTTTCTGGATTGCTCTTTATTCCTCCACTTTCTCTACTCATTAGCTTCCAGATTTAGTTTCAAACCAGCGATATATAGGACCAAGACAAGGACAAGTCATACTTCTTTATTCACAAGCAGAAAAAAAAAAACATGAAGTATCACAATGCATTTGCAATCATTAAAGAAGCAGCAGATAAACCATTCCTAAACTATGGAAATCCTATCATGGACTTTTATAAGAAATTAAATTTTTAAGAAATCCTTATACCTATAACCTAAATTTATAAAGCTCTTTTAAAGATGTCATTCTATGCAAGCTACTCTTGCTAAAGGTGTCTTTCAATGACAAGTTTTTAATTTTGATGAAACCTAATCCTGGATCTTTTATGGTTAATGTGTTCTATGACCCGAGAAACCTTTGGCTACTCTCAAGTCATAAAGATATGCACCAATGTTTTCTGGGAAAAAAAGACTTATATTTTTTAGCTATTACAAAAACATCTATGATTCAACTCAAATAATTTTTTGTGAGATAGGGAACTCTTGATTCCTTTTTTCCTCAGTGGATATTCAGCTCTACTATCCTACCTACATTTGTTGAAGACTCTCCTTTCCTGTTTGATTATTTGACACCTTTGTAAAAATCAAGTGATCAGATAAAAATTAATGTTTTTAGGTCCTGTCTTTTATTCCATTGATTTATCTGATTACTGATACTACTTTTTACAATAATCCTGGCATTGCTTTACAAAATTTAAGCCTCAATAAAAGAAAATATAGAAATTAAATTGAAATAAATGAATGAGATTGAGATGAGCCTAAGAACATCCTTAGAAAACCATTTTTTAAAATTGTATCACAGTTTTGAAACACTCCATAATTACTACCATATCAAGAGCAAAATATATTTACTCACAAATAACTGAAAAACTAAATATTTTTAGTACTTTCAACTGAAATTATATATGAAAAATATTTCATTAATTTTTCTACTCAATTTTACCACAGGTCTCCCCTGCATTAATTCTAAGTCATTTAATAATACCACAATTAGTAAGCTTTAAAACAATCATAAAAAATTCATGTGTTGAAGCTGGATGATAGGTACACATTCCACCTAATAAAATAAATTATGTTAAATTTATTTTACAATAAATAATAAAATGTTAAAAACTCACATATCAATTTCAAAAATGTGCTTGGTAAAGAAAAAAGTGGGTTATTTCCTTTATAAAAAGAAGTTTTATAAAATTTCATTTAGAGTTTACTTGGAAAAGAAAATTACAAGCAAGAATATAGTTCAGTAGTACTTTATAAAATAAAAATGAAAACAACTCCCCCCACCAAAAAAAATCTTTGTGAGCAAATTGTACATTACATGGCTCTTGGAAACTGAGCTATACTAATTTTGTTCAAATTGGCACAGAGGATCCTCTATCACCACTGTCATCTTTTTTTTAAAGCAGATAACCTGAATTGTCAAACCTCAAATTTTCCATAAAAACTCACCTTAACAACTTGACAAGGTTGCCAAATTGGTAATAATACCAAAACTCTTTAAGAATTACAATTTGTTCTTAACTTGAAATTTTGTTTTGAGGCATAATATTCAGATCTTCCTACAATAAATCTATGGTTTAAAAAATAACCCCAAACACTTGAAGAAAGTTTGTTAAAATAAAATTGCAATGCTTATTACCTTTTCTATTGGCAACAATGAAAATCACTAAAAATTTTACTTTTGCTCTTTTCAAATGATCTGCATTAAAATCAAATAAGTGGTATAAGAGGAAATTTTTAGTTTTAAGATTCTCAAAACACATGTCAAAGACAGAAATATTGATTTTTTCCATTAATGATAAGAAGAAACAGAAGATTTAGTTAAGATTTAACATTTAAAAATCAAAAAATTTTAAGCTAAAAAAAATCAAAAGATTAATCAGAACATTACAGGTAAAGAATATCATTTGTGCATTTTCTAGGTTCATACTGTAGTTATCAATCCAGAATACCAATAAGAGTTCTCAGATCCAATGTCAAAAAAACGGAATTTGGGCAAGCACTCTCAGTATTATTTTTATTTAATATGCACTGCATGCACATGATGCAGGTAGGGGAAAAGTTTATTAATCCATGCATTAAAGACAAGACAGACTGGTACTATTGCCAAACGTGCATTGAGTCAATTAGGATGTTGCTCAAAGTTCCTTATACTTAATGGTGCCATGAAAATAAGTGTAGAAGCAGAAATGTGTACACATCCCAAAGCATCCTCTTCATTAGGTTTCCTGAGCTTTCTTTGCATTCTGTTTTTCTTTTGCCTTTTCTACAAGAGGTATTAACTGCTGGTGTTCTGCTAAAGTCTTTAACAATTCCATAATAAAAGGCAGATAATTATGCTTCCTTCTGATATTTTCAATCTTGTATCTTTTTAACTTTTGTACTTCTTCTTCAATAAGCATCTGATTTTTGGCAACTTCTGATTGAATAGCACTTAACATATTACTACCCTGATCTGTATCCATAGGTTCCTCCTCTGCAAGTTGTCTTTGTAACTCTGCTATCTTCTGTTCATAAATCATTTTTCTGTCAGACACAATAGCCATTAAGTTAAATCGAATTTCACCTTCACTGTACTTTTGTATTCTTTTTTCTATGACTGGCCGTACTGCGCTGATCCAGTCATCTTGATTGCAAGCACCTAAATCAATTGGTCCTTCTCTTAATCCATCTAATTCATACAGTCTTCCATTAACAGGAACATAACTGACAAAGTGAAAAGCATCTTCTTCTTTGGCTGATGTTTTTGCATCAAATTCAAACATTTGCTGTCTGGCAAAACTGTTGTGTACTTGTCGAATCACATCTGAATTGCTCAGTGCCAAACCCTTCATAGCTGCATCAAAACTTTGTGAAAATTCTTTAAACTCTGATAATGTCTCTCCTAAATGAACATCTTGATGGGTACAGTTCAATAACACACTTACAATGGCTTGAGTGGCACATGCATTGTTAATTACCTGCTTTGCAAAAAATATTGTGTCAAGTCTGGAATCCTGAACAACAGAGCCTGCTGGTTCTTCTCCTGGCTGCCACTTGAAAAGAAAAATTAAGCCATGAACTGGCTTTAATTTTTCAAAAATTTCAGGCTCTAAACTCCATATTTCTTCTACTTGGGCTCCTCGGCAACCGAATCCTTTAATGAGCTCGGTGAAGACCCCGGGGTCGCTTTCCATGAGGCACCACTCCCCGGCATTGCCCGTCATGGCCCCGGCCACACACCGCCCCGCTCCACCTCGCGTTCTCGGCAACCCCCCGCACCAGCTGCCGCCGGCCACAGATCTCAGCAAACACGCCGCCGAGCTCGTCAACCACACGTCACCCCGCCTACTTCCCGACAGCCTCCGGGCGCCGTCACCTGCAGCGCGACCCAGCGCAAGAAGACCTTGAACAGTGTTTTTATATCAGCTTCATTGAGCTATAAGGCACAATGGATAATTAATTTATTGAAAGTATACAATTCAATAGATAATTTATCAAAAGTATACAATTCAATTCCAGACATATGAAACTATTGTCACAATCAATTTCAGGACATCTTTATCAACCCCAAATGAAGCCCTGTACCCATTAACATTTTGTAGCCATCATAGATTGGTTTGAGCAAGAATTATCAGCAGGTGCTGAGTTTGAGAGGCAGGAAGCTTGATGACAAACTGGATTAGCCCGAGCCTGGAGACAATTCTTTTACTTCTCTCACAGCCCTCACCCCAGAGTTGCCGATTTAGTCAATAAAATTACACAATGTCCAGTTAAATTAGAATTTCAGGCAAATAACAAATCGTCGCTTAGTTTAAGAATGTCCCTCGCAACCCTCCCCACCCTAACTCAGAGGCTTCCCTCAGAGACCCCCCTCTTTGAGCCTGGGAAGAAGGGAGCTCCAGGTCTACCCACGAAGTCCCCTCTGGGTTCTCTCAGAGAAGACAGTGGCCCTAGAACGCGGGTTCCCACCCACCCCTTCTGAAGCTTACCTCTTTCCCGCCCCTCTCTGACCTCAGGTCCCAGTCTCTGCCCAGGGCTTTCTGTGAAATCTAGAGAACAAGGCGGTTTGGAGCAGGAACCTCTTCCTCACCAAGCACACTCAAGCCCCACCTGGCTAATGCCCCTCCTTGTTCTAAAGAAGTCAGGAGCGCTGGCAACTCCAGCCTTCTGGAACTCAGGTTCTGTGACATAATTCCCCTGGAAATACGCTGGTTCGAGACACGCAAACTGACCAAGCTTCAGGCGGAAATGGCAGATGGGCCTGGGAGGAGAGGTGACAAGTGTGTGGGAGCCTGCTGGGCCACACAGGGCTCCATCCTTCTGCCTCCCATCCTTTCTGGGAATAGGACCACACCGGGGGAAACCCCTTTCCCCACAGGTGTTTGGGCCTGCCTGTAATCCCAGCAACTTGGAAGGCTGAGGCAGGAGGATCACGAGTTCGAAACCAGCCTCAGCAACTTAGTGAGACCCTATCTCAAAAAATGAAAAAAAGCTGGTGATGTAGCTCAGTGGGAAAGCACCTCTGGGTTCAATCCTCAGTACCAAAAAGGGAAAGGGAAAAAGAAGAATAATGTGTACTTTATTTAATGTTGCAAAGTTTTCCTCAGCTTACGTTTACAACTGAGGCAAAACTATACTATTTTTTTTAGTACCTCCAGAATCATGAATAGGAGCACAAAAACTGCAGAAATGATAATCTCAGCACTATTAGAAAATGATACTTCATTCATGTCTCAGGTACTTGTTCTTGTCAGAAAAAGCTAACACAATCTATGTGATTCCATTTGAACAAAACTAGAATGTGTAAACTGATCTATAATGACAGAGAGCAGAGCTGTAGGTACTTGGGAATTGGGGAAGTAGGAAGGGAAAGGAGGGGGTCATCAAGGAGCAAAAGGAAACTTGGGAAGAAATGGATATGTTCACTATCTTGATTTTGATAATAATTCCAGGCATGTCTATATGTCCAAAGTTATCAAATTGTACTCTGTAAGTTATGCAGTTTACTGTATATCAACACCTCAGAAAAAGTACTTAAAATATTTAAAAATTAGTATTGTTACACAAAATGAATCTTGTGAAAAGGAAGTTAAGGGTTGGGCAGGGTTGAGAACCCAGCATCAGGTAGATTGAGAAGTGGGAACAAGCTCCTCCCCCTGCCCTATCTGCTGTGCAATTCACTGAGAGACTACTAGAGGGCAGAAGTGGTCCTTGTACAGGAAGCGGGGGCTGCAGGGCTCCCTAACTTCGGAGGTGGATGTTAAATACCCCCTTTACTCTTAGTAGAGCTGGAATTTGAACCATCGTCTCTTTGGTCCTGATTCCACCATATTGATCCCTCAGCACCAGGAGACCTCCCTGTGCTCCAGTGGGGTAGCCGTCATAGCCCAGGGTCTGTTACCCACTGGGCCGGCAGGGAGCAGTTGGAGATGGCACCAGGGGGTTGTGATTCTCCAGGTGCCTTTGGCAAGACTCCTCAGTTGACCTGAAACCCACGATTGTGAAGCAGGGCAATTTCCAGGGTCAGATGCTGCAACCTAAAATTCATTTTTAGAAGGGAAGGAGAAAGGAGAGAAAATTTAGTGGGGGCAGGGGATATGATGGCAGATCCGCAATGGAAGCCTTCCAATGAAAGCACTTGCTAACACTGAACACCAGTGCTGGACACAGGGAGTCATTTTACCTTCACAGTGCTCTTGTCAAATAAGCTGCACGGAGGTTAAGTAACTCACTCAAACAGAGCTAGTAGGAGGCTTCAGGAGAATTTGAATCCAGGTTTAACACTGATTTGTCAGCTTAGCTACTACAATATAGTACACACTTAAATGGAATGGTCCTTCTCAGTTCTTTGGTTCATGTGTTAAACTGGTTGGTGTTGGTCTCAGATGGTGGATGTTCTAGTTTAGCCTTCTGAAGATAAAGTCTATAATGCTTCAAGAGAAGGTTAAGAGCCTGTGATGGTCCAGGAAGGAGGTTCCCCTTTCCACCCCCTTGCCCCTGTTTGTGTTGAACATTTACAATGTGTGAGGTTCCGTGCTAAGGTTGATACTTTAACAGTGATAATAAGGGCAGGTGGGCCAAGGCCAGCAACAAGGAGTTAAGGGACAGGTAACATGCAGCTATGTAGTGATATTGTTCAATTGTGCTCACAGGAATTTGTGAAAAGCAGCTTAACCTAATAAGACCAGACCAGGCTAGGATGCAGGCCCAGGGAATGCACCGGAAGCCCTTGGGTATCAGAACAAATTTGAGCATCCTGGTGAGCTGGTAACTGGCCCATAGTCCATGGGTGGGTGAGTCCTCCAGCCAATTCTCTCCCTTCCTTCCTCAACTTTGGAATAGTTCCCCTGAGATCATGCAGTTTGATGCTCCAGGCCAAGTGCCCCAGGAAAGTGTCCCTCCTAGTTTGGATTCTGCCAAAGCCAAGGGCCCTGGGCTGGTGCCTACCATGCCCTCTCTGGGCCATTTTATTCCCAGGAGACACTGATTGGGTTGTTACAGCCACCAAATTAAAGCTCCTGGGCTCAAGTGGGAAGACAAAGTAAAAAGGAGGCCAGTGAAAAGACATCCTCACAGACCCTTTCTTCCTTTCATAGATGGGAAGACCAAGGCCTGGGCAGGGAAGGGAGTTGGCAAAGGCCCCCACTGTGGGCAACTTTATCACATATTCAGTCAGTGTTTTTGCTTTTTTTTTTTTTGCCAAAGAACATTTTTTTTTACAGATTGATTAAATGAAGATCCAAATAAGAAGCACACATTATGATTGGTTGATGTACCTTAAAACTCTTTTAATCCACAAATTTCTCTTTCATCTTTCTCTTTTTCCTTACAATGTGTTATTTATTTAGTTATTTTGGGGTACTGGGGATTCAATTCAGGAGCACTCAATCACTGAGCCACATCCCCAGCCCTATTTTGCATTTTATTTAAAGACAGGGTCTCACTAAGCTGCTAAGTACCTTGCCATTGCTGAGGATCCTCCTGCCTTAGCCTCTGGAGATGCTGGGATTACAGGTAAGCGCCACCTACAATGTATTATTGAAGTAGCCACTTCACGTATCCTGTTGATTATCTGCCATCTGGATTTTGAGGATTGCAAACATGTGGCTTCACATATTTCTCTCTTTTGCATTTCTTGGCAATTGTTAGTTGCATCTAGAGGCCTGATCAGATGAAGATTTTAATTTTGGCAACACTCGTTCAGGGTAGGTTTGTTCTCCAGAAGGCACGTGGCTAGTGGCTTCCTTTGGTGACATCACAAAAGGATCATGGGCACATCCTTAAAGGAAACTCCCCCCAATTCCCCGTGAACAGCTCCCATATTTGGTGGCTGTGCCTGACACTCTTGTCCTATAGCTTGTGCTGGAAGTTCTGCACCAGGCCTGCCATTCATCCCGCTCTTATTTCCCCTGTGTCCCCAATGACTACAATAGACACTTGATGAATACATGTTGGAAAGAGTAATTAATGATGACGTCAATGTTTCTGGACGTCAGGAACAGGCTGCTCCCACACCACGAGCTAGGGAAGACACCACAGGCATGAACCCTGCCCTGGATGTCCAAAGATCAGCCAACCTGCCAGAGCCAGGACAGGAGCCAAGGGTATAGGGATGAGTCGGAAGGGCAGGGACTCCAGGAACCAGAGCCAGGCCTGCGCTCCACCCTGGCAAGGGGCAAGCCCGATAACACAAAGTCCTGCAAGGTGACAGGCAGCGGGGTGAAGGACACCAGAAGGTGGCAAGGTCTACACTGAGCTGGGGCAGGCTCAGACCCTAGTGTCGGAATGGAGGAAGCCAGGCCCCTCAGCCTCACACTGGGCAGCTGACCACTGCAGGACTCAGGTCCAAGGATCAAGTCAGAAGCCCTGTGTGTCAGTTAGAATTGAGCTGGGTTGAAAGGAATGGAAAATCCCAGTTATCACTGACTTAAACAGGCTAATGCTCATTTTTTTCTTCATCCCAAGAGTCAATCTCAAGCCAACAGGCTACCAAAGGAAACAACAGAGAGAACATTAGCCACCCTATCTTGTTGCTCCGACATGCACAGACATGATTCTACCCCACGGTATAATGTGGCTGCTGGAACTCAGCCTTGCTGTGACATATTCCAGGTCGAAGGAAGGAGTTGCAGAAGGAGAAAAACACTCTTCTTGCTCTAGGGCAATTTCCAGAATTATACAAACTACTCTACTTACATTTTATTGGCTGGAACTGAGTCACATGGCCACACTTGACTGCAAGTTGGGAGGATGGGAAATGTTTTCATTTCACACAACCATGAACCTACCCCCAAATCAAGAGTCTGACACTGAAGCACAAGA